ATCAGCTCACCAATTTCTCAGAGCATAGCTAAAACACAGCCAAACCCCAACATGTTAATAACAATAAATTGTGTTGAGACGTAAAAAGCTCAAACTGTCACTCCTGACATGCAAATAGTCAGTGTAGTCAATGAACAACTGGACTTTTCACTTCTAGCTGAAATGGAGTAACAGGTACCAGATTTATCCACCCAACAGAAACAACCAAAACTTTGGCTAAACATATGAAACAACAGTTTTTAGGGCACTGGACATTATGCAACAAAAGACAATGCTTCTTGGGGAATGAGAAAGTAATGAGGTAAGCCTAATGAACTGGCCCAGTTGACTGACTTGAAAGAATTTCTAGGCTGAAGTGCAGGGAGTGGAGACTAAGGCAGAACCAAAAAGATTCCCTGAGTTGAGGAGATGTGCATGAGAGTCTGGAAAGAAGAATACGGCTTGAGTTTGCAAGACAGACTATCAAAGAGGAGATAACTGCACAGAGAGAAAACTGTTGTGATTTGCAAGCAATTACTCTTGAGTATTCAGCAGAGTACTGATCAGTGCAGGCAAGTGTGAAAAGTCTGGAGGCTGAGGAGAGAACCACCCCAAAGGATTGCAATAATAGTGCACAGTGCTCACACTGAGTCAGGAATAATCCTGCTAGCTATACTGGAAAACTTCATGATGCAAGAAGGATCAGGCAAGGGACACAGAAGGGTCTTATCTCAGTAGTGGGGAATAATTATTATCAGACAGCACTGTTCCAGTCCCACCTAATGAATTTTAAAAGCACAACTCAGAATATATGGCATTTAATACAAAATTACCAGGCATGCATAAAAACAGGAATACATGACCTATACAGGCATACCTTGGAGATGCTATGGGTTCAATTCAAGATCACCACAATAAAGCAAATGTCATAATAAAGTGAGTCGTATGAATTTTCTGGTTCCCTAGTGCATATAAAAGTTATATTTATACTATACTGTGTGTATTAAGTATGCAATAGCATTATATCTTCTTTAAGAAAAAGCCCCCGATGTATATACCTTAACTTAAAAATACTTAATTTGCTAAAAAATGCTAACCATCATCTGAAACTTCAGTGCATTGTGATCTTTTTGCTGGTAGAGTGTTTGAAATATGGCAAGAACTACCAAAATGTGACAGAAACATGAAGTAAGCAAATACTGTTGGAAAAATAGTGCCAGTAGACTTGCTTGATGTAGGGTTGCTGCAAACCTCTAATTTGTAAAAACCAAAATATCTGTGATGTGCAATAAAATAAGGTATGTCTGTAATGACAAAAATGATCACACAATTAAATCTGACCCAGGGACCTCCCTGGTGGTCCAGTGGTTAAGAATCCGTCTTTCAATAAAGGGGACACAGGTTTGATCCCTGGTCGGGAAATTAAGATCCATGTGCCATGGGGCAACTAAACATGTGCTCTGTAGAGCCCACATGCCACAACTACAGAGAAGCCCAAGTACCACAACAAAGAATCCTGCATACCACAACTAAGACCCAACACAGTCAAATAAATAAATAAATAAGTTGAACCAGAACTGGTAAAGTGGTTAGAATAAGTAAAAAATGACCTTAAACAGTTATTATCATTGAATTCCATGTTCAAAAAGTTAAATAGAGATATGGAAGATACAATAGATGACTCAATTCAAAATTCTAGAAGTGAAACCTGTAATGTCAGAGATGCAAAATACACAGGATAGAATTAAAGGCAGATTAGTCATTGCAGAAGAAACAATTAGAAAATTTGAAGATATAAAAAGAAACTAGAAAATAAAACACAGAGAAAACAATGAATAAAAATGAAAAGAGCATCCATGATTTGTGGAACAATAGCAAGTGTACTAATACACATTTAACTGGAGTTCCTGAAAGTTTACCTTGCTTTTCTTAGTGTCAATATGCTAGTTTCACACCCTTTTTGTTGTCCTTTTAAAAATGTCTCCTTCATGTATTATGACATTCTACTAATTGTATTTAGAATGTTACTTAATGTCACAGGTGGCACTAGTGGTAAAGAACTCGCCTGCCAATGCAGGAGACTAAGAGACATGGATTCGATCCCTGGGTCAGGAAGATCTCCTGGAGAAGGGCATGGCAACCCACTCTAGTATTCTTGCCTGAAGAATCCCATGGACAGAATCCAGGCAGACTCCAGTCCATAGGGCCGCAAAGAGTCAGACAGGACTGAAGTGACTTAGCATGCATAAGACTTCTCACACACAGTATTTTGTTTTCAAATGTTACCAGTATCTAAATGCAAAAAAAAAATGTTTTCAATATAATTTTTATCATAGACATTTATTGTTGTTGTTCATTCACTCAGTCATGTCTGACTCTTTGCAACCCCATGGTCTGCAGCATGCCAGGCTTCCCTGTCCTTCACTATCTCCCAGAGTTTGTTCAAACTCACATCCACTGAGTAAGTGATGCCATCCAACCATCTCATCCAAAGTTGTTCCCTTCTCCTCCTGTCATCTGTCTTTCCCTGCATCAGGGTCTTTTCAAATGAGTTGGCTCTTCACATCAAGTGGCCAAAGTATTGGAACTTCAGCTTCAGCATCAGTCCTTCCAATGAATATTCAGAATTGATTTCCTTTAGGATTGACTGGTTTGATCTCCTTGCAGTCCCAGGAATGTTCAGGAGTCTTCTCCAGAACCACAGTTCAAAAGCATCACTTCTTTGGCACTCAGCCTTCTTTATGGTCCATCTCTCACATCCATACTTTACTACTGGAAAAACCATAGCTTTGACTCTACAGACCTTTGTTGACAAAGTAATGTCTCTCTGCTTTTTAATACGATGTCTAGATTTGTCATAGCTTTTCTTCCAAAGGAGCAGGTGTCTTTTAATTCATGGCTACAGTCACCATATGCAGTGATTTTGGAGCCCAAGAAAATCAAGTCTTTCACTGTTTACATTGTTTTCCCATCTATTTGCCATGAAGTGATGGGACTGGGTGCCACGATCTTAGTTTTTTGAATGCTGAGTTTTAAGCCAGGTTTTTCACTCTCATCTGTCACCTTCCTCATAGACATATAAACCCCCAAATGACCTACTGCAAGGTCCCTGCCTTTGTGACTTGGTTTTAGCAGAAATCAGAGCTTGAGGCTCCTGAGGCTTGTATGCTTGTATTTTATCATGGAGATTATTCTAGGGGGGCAGGAGATGAACAAAGAGAGTGGAGCAGCTAATGGAGAACAAACATAACACTGTGCTGTTGTTTACTGTTGCTAAGTGCAACGGAATGCTAGATAATTGGCACTCAGTGCCCAAGAAACTCTCTCTATAAAATGCACTCAAGGACTCCATTGGGGACAGTGTGTTGATAACGAGGAAATGATTTGTCTACTGGTTCCTGCTTCCCATTGGCCAAAGGTTTACTCCACATGATATTAACTTGCCTATGCCGATGGCTTATGCAGGCCAGGATGAAGGTACAGAACAGAGTACCAAGGAAAGAGGCTTCAGGTGCAGGTAGGAGGCAAGGAACTCTCTGGTTATTCCCACAGCACCTGGAAATAAAACAAAACTGATGAAGCCAAGATAATCTGAAATGGAATTTCTAAATGTATGACACCTCTCTGTTCCATGATCATTCAGAACTGGGGCAAGTCCACAATAGTCTTTGTGTTCCATGTCCTAGATGATGCATGTCATTAGACAATGAATACTACTTGACACATGTACCACTTTGTTTCACATGAGTTTGCTCTTTTAATCAGTCTTGTGGGACTTATCCCTGATATACACCAAGTTTACTTCAGGAGCTTTTATAAACCACTGACTTCTGGGCTTCATCCTCTACCAGTAGAAACAAAATAACTGATATGGGCCTGGGTATTAGTATTTTCTAAAGTTTCTAAGATGATTCTGATATGTGGACAAAGTAGAAAACCCTTGAGGCACTTGGGTCTCCTAGTTGTCCCCTGTATATTCCATGCCTGTTAGCAATTCCAAATAGTATTCATGCCTTCCCTATGTAATGGAATGGTCTCTTCATCTCTAAATACCATCCATTATTCAAACTACATTTTAATTCTACTTCACCTACATATCTTTCCCTAATCATGTTATCCTTGATGATCTTTCCCTAACTTTGACTCTGTATTAGCAAAGCATCCTCCACACATCTCTTAGCAGTCTATAGTGAAAACATTTTAAAATTTCTTTCTACATGTAATTGACTTTTGTCTTTCTTTCCATCCTTGAGTTCCTAGGTTTCAGTTTACATGTGTTCTTAACTTGAAGGGATTCACTCCCTCCAAATTTGGTTTGTTCTGTTTATCTTTAAAAGGGTCATTGTGGAAAACAGATTTTTAAGACGATTCCAGTAATCTCCATAGGGATCATAGGAGTAAAGACCACTGAAATCCATGGTACCCCCAAAGTTTCTGAGAAATTTGTTTTATAATAAACACTGCCAGCTTCAACTGAAGGGGACCCAAAGAGTACACAATGAAGGGAGGCCATTGAATCTTCAAAATTATAGTGACAGGAAGCAGGCTAATAAAATGAATCAGAAGCAGGCACATGCTACCTTTCATGAAAATGGAAGGATTATTAACACAGAAGAAAAACTCCAGAGGGTGGAGCTGAGAGCCATGAAGAATGATTCCCAGATTTTGAGTCAAGTGACCCCTATTATTTGCCTGACTAGGCTCCAGAACTGTTGTGACTCATTGACACCTTTTTACTTTCCATTTCCCCCATTTTTTATCTGGAATATCTATAGCTGTTAAGCTGTGCTCATCTCACCATTGTATGTTGGATGCATTGGGAACACATCATGGGTTCCTTGTGTTTTACATGTCCATAGGTGGAAAGCAATTCTGGCCCAGGAGCTGCACTTAAACAATTAGAGTCAGGAACCTCCTTCACACCTAGACTTGATTTAGATTATGAGATGTTGGACTTTGAGCTGATGCTATAATGGGACAAGATTTTGAGAACCTTTGGACATGAAAAATGTATTTTCCAGGGGCTTTCCAGGTGCACTAGTGGTAAAGAATCTGCCTGCCAATGTAGGCGATGCAAGAGATGCAGGTTCAGTCCCTGGATTGAGAAGATCCACTTGAGGAGGGCATGGGCAGTATTCTTGCCTGGAGAATCCCATGGACAGAGGAGACAGAGGTGAGCTACAGTCCATGGGGCTGCTAAGAGTAGAACATGACTGAGCACACACTTTCAATGTCCTTTCCATGTGAGAGAGACATGGATCATCAATGGGATGCCAGATGGCAGATTAGGGAAGACTTGAAGGTGTTTCCTATGATCCCCACTTCCTTATGTTCATACCCTTTGATAATCCCCTACTCTTCTCTTGAATATGGGGCTTCCTTGATGGCTTAGACAGTAAAGAATCTACCTGCAATGCAGGAGACCTGGGTTTGATCCCTGGGTCAGGAAGATTTCCTGGAAAAAGGAATGGAAACCCACTCAAGTATTCTTGCATGGAGAATTCCATGGACAGAGGAGCCTGGTGGGCTACAGTTTATGGGGTCACAAAGAGTCAGACACGACTGAGCAACTAATGCTACTACTGCTACTCTTCTTGAAGGTAGGGGAAACCTGTGACTTACTTCTCACCGATAGAATATCACAAGGTGATGGATGGCCACTCCCATGATTGTCTTATGTTATGCGTGCCTGCTAAGTCACTTCAGTCGCATCCAACTCTTTGTGACCCTATGGACTGTAGCCCACATGGCTCCTCTGTCCATGGAATCCTCCAGGCAAGAATACTAGAGTGGGTTGCCATGCCCTCCTCCAGGGGATCTTCCCAACCCAGGGACTGAACCCACATCTCTTAAGTCTTCTGGTGCATTGTCAGATGGTGTCTTTACCACTAGTGCCACCCAGGAAGCTTTATGTTATATAAGATTTCATTTAGCTAACAGTCTCTCACTCCATTGTTGGCTTTGAAGAAACAAATTTCCAACAGTCCTTTGACCACAAGGCAATGAATTCTGCCAATGACTGAAAGGAACTTGGAAGCATGTCCTTCTCCATTCAATCCTCTAATGGGAACCCATTCGTGGCCAACACCTTGATGGCAACTTTGTGAGACAATAAACAGAGAACCCAGTTAAGTCATGCCTGGACTTGTGACCCACAGAAACTATGAGATAATGAATATGTGTTGTTTTAAGCTACTAAATGTGTGGTCATTATGCAGAAATAGAAAACTAATGCAGTCAGATTTTCCATTGCTTTATTTCAGTCACCATTCCTACTCAGGTAAACCACAGGGAAATTATGAGATCATATTTGCCTTCCATTTTAAAACTTTTATTTTAGTTTCTTTATTATCCACCTTCTGTACAATTGGATATTGGGAGCTGAAGCCAAACTTCCTGACCCTTAGATCCATGGTTCTCACATTTTAGCATGCATCAGACTCACCTGGGGAGCTTTTTAAAACAGACTGAGACCCTAGAGTTTCCCACTCAGTAGGGATTGAGCATGATTCAAGGATCTACATGTTTAATAAATGCCCAGGGACGTCGATGCTGTTGGTTCAGGGCCAATGTTTGAGAACTACTGTCTTTCCTCCAGTTCTTCTTTCTGTGGCCTCTGTGATATACATTTGTTTTTTTTTTTTTGCAGTTTGCTGTGACCCCTTTTCTCATGGTGATTGATATTATAAGCTGCTGGAATTTCCAGGTTCTGGCTGGTAGTTGCTATGGCAACACACACAGGGTTGCCCTGTGCTTGAGGCCCTGAGTGAGGACGACACCAGATGAATCACTGCTGTAAGTGACTTGTAAGTGGTGTGGGCATTTCTCTCGAGTTGTCTATTTCCTCCTGTGCCCTTATTCCTGGTCCCTTCCTTTTTTGGTAATGAGCTTTTGGGCTCTCACTCAAGATTCTTCTCTATATTATGATTTTAAAAAACCCTTAGATTTATCTTGTTTTTCACATGTTTTTCACAATGTCTTTTCTGTCACAAAACTGGATTTTATTAGCATAGCAACTTTACGAGGTATGCTACAGAGGTCTTATTATTCCCATTAACAAATGACTACAAGCCTCAGAGACACTCAGAGATAATTAAGATGCAAAGTGACACAAGGTAGAAAGTGGCAGAGGCAAATCTGGAACCCAGAACATCAGTGCTGATATTGCCAAGGGCTCTGGCAGGAAAGAGATGGCACAGTTAAAAGCATGACTGAAGAGAGCTTAATGAAGAGAACTAACAAGCAATAGTAAAGTGCCTTGAGGCAGGAAACTAGCCTGGATGGTTAAGAGGAGATAGTGGCTCATGTCACCTGGAAAGAGAGATGTAGCTACAGTTACAGCTTACATGAGAAGGACATTCATCAGGAGCTGTGACCTTCATTGGAAGAATGCAGCCACTCCCAACCCACCGACCAGGAGGAAGGGGTCAGGGCTAGAAACAACCCAACTTCTCTCCTCAAAACATGACAGAGGTTTAGGATAAGGCCAAGACATTTTACCATTGCTGTCTGATAGGAGGTCTTTACAGATGTTTGAACAGGGAGCAATCCATGAAAATGGGGTATTAGAAGAATTGGCCAAGCAGTGTGATACAGGGCAAATCAGAGGGAGGAGAAGTTGAAGGCACAGAGGTCAGTTAAAAGGATGCTGTGGAACTTAGAACATCTTCCATTTCTGTCCACACTGTAGTGGTCCTGAACAGAGTGGTCAAGGAAAGACACATAAGAGCTGTGGAGGGTAGTCACTCTTTCACCCCAAGGACCTGTTTGTTTAAAGAAGTTATCCTACTATACCTGGTTATTTGATATTGAGCTTGAAGTCCTTTTCAGGTTTTAAGCAGGGTATAACAGTCTTTTGGGTTTTGCTTTAGGTTCCCAAACAGCAGACATAAAGAGAGAAGGATTTGAGTATAAGTAATTTATTAGGGAGGTTCAGAGAATACCAGCATGGAAATTCAAGTGAAGTGAGGGAGGAAAACCAAGAAAGGAGGTATTATCAATCCAACTATCAATAGTAACTGAGTGACAACACTAATTACATGGGTAAATTCTGGGAACTAGCATAATAGATACATCTCGGTAACATTCCCACTTAGGAGGCAAAGGATTTAGAATATTTGTATGCCTACTGTTGCACATCATTGGTTGACAGTTTAGAGTATTTTTATACCAACTCTTGAGCATCATTGGTTGACAGTCGCTCTTGGGGAATGTTAATGTTAATGTTAACTCACTTCCAGTCTGTACCCATGCATAGGCAGAGTGACCATGTGTGGTTCTGGAAATGGCCTCCTGACTGTGGTCCTGATGCAGATGCTGGTAGTTAGAAGTCATTTTGAGGGTGATGAACTGGATATGGGTGGGGCATCAGCGGCACCTGCTACATTGTCATTTTTAGGAGAGTACTTATCATCCATATGGTCTCTACCCACTTAATACAGTGCTCGAAATTGCTGAGTCCAAATGGAATTCTACTCGACACAAAATCAAGCCAACATGGTTGGTTTGAAGGTTACAGTGTGGCTGGGCACATACCATATTGCGCAGTGGAATTGGTAGTGAAACACAGGAGGTAAAAGCTTGGGTACTTTTTTAAGGTTCTGGGAGTGAGGGGGAAAGATATTACCAAGTGGGTAAGAGAGCAATGTAGCCAACATATCAGTTGGTAATTAACAAATGATTAGTACCTGGGATTCTAAACTCTCAATCCAGAAGCAAAAGAGGAACATGGACACCCAAGCAAAGTAGACAGAAATAACTCATGCTGCTTTGCATAGAATGTCTGTATATTGCTCTAACCAGGCTCCAAAGATATCTAATAGCCCCGACTCTGCTTTAAAACAAAAGCATTCAAGGCAGTGTCATTTTCCATCCAGTTTCAGAACAGCCAATCGTCTCATGACTTACACCTCACTGAGTCTGTATCTCCCCATTGCAGCCAGGACATCTGCCCTGCTCTACATCAGAGTGCTCAGCATGATCTTGAATCCACACAGACACAAGGTTTTTTGTTTTTTGTTTTTAAATGAGACAGAGGGAAGCATTTTCTGTGTCACACTGTGCTGAATTATTTACTCCCAGCCTGGGATTCAGAGAGTTAGCACTTTCTCAGCCTTGAATTTTACAGCAATACAAAGAAATAAAATAAGTAAATAAAGAGAGAGGGGAAATAAATTCCTTGGAGACCTACTGGCATATGAAGTATTGTTTGAAATGGAGCCTGATGCTGAAATAATTGTGCCATTTTAGAGTGCAATACTGAGATGCTCACAACTATTTTTAAATGCTGGAGAAAAGCACAGTTTTGCAGCAATAAATGTGTGGCCATTTGTTTAAGCAGAAGCAATGAACCTAAAATTTGCATGGATTTATTTAATTAAGCATCCCCAAATTTAGATACTGACTCCAAAATAATGCCTTTAAGCACTATGAGCAAAATAATAATAAGTACAGGTAATAAAAATGAGGATATCTCCACTTCCTTGGAGATCAGGGTGAAGAAAAAGGATACAATATAGGTTGAGAGGTATTTATCTGGCCGTAAAAGAGAGCAATCTGCCTCCATTCAGGATCTGTACCCTGGAGGTCATAACGAACATTTCCAATGTATTCTGCAGGGGTTGTGATCATGTAATCACAGAAACACAAGGTAACTTACTTTGGGTCTCCCCCTACTCCTTTACATTTATTCAGAAGGATAATTCCTTCCTAGCCCCTAGACAAAAGCCAGATTTCTTTCCTGGAGTGCTTGCATGCCTCTTAAGTTGATTCAGTCCTGTCTGACTCTGCAACCCTGACTGTAGCCCGCCAGGATCCTCTATCCATTGGGATCCTCCAGGCAAGAATACTGGAGTGGGTTGCCATGCCCTCCTCCAAGGGACTTCCCAACCCAGGGATCGAATCTGCATCTCTGTCTCCTGCATTGCAGGCAGATCCTTTACCATAAGTGCTACTGTGAAGCCCTCTGGAGTGCTTAGGTAATAAAAATTCCTGTGGCAACTTTAAGCCCAAAATACTTTTTCTTTTTTATGATTATCAGTAACTATCATTTCTATGTCCAGGTAATGATCACAACTTTAAACATGGCCTGATTTTTTTTTATTCTTTAAAAAAATCTTTTAATGTATTTTAGTTTTTACTATTATTATTATTTGGCTTGCAGGATGTCAGTTCCTGGACCAGAGATTGAACCCAGGCCATGGTAGTGAAATCATGGACTCCTAACCAGTAGGCCACTGGGAAACTCCCAAACATGACTTGACTCTGATAGGAAGCCTGGAGCAGAGATTGCATGGAGAGAGAGATGGTCAGCTTTTTATCTGGAGAAGAAAAAGCAGTGCTTCTTTTTTTTCCCCCATCTGCTCACCTGGCTCCTCACCCCTCCTGCATTGATGTGCAGGGAAGGAGAAGCACACAGAGAAAGAAGCCCTTTAGCAAATGGAGCTCTTATGAGCCCTTTCTTCTATGAGCCTGATTGGCATGAAACACTGACTCTTTTCTTCTTGAATGCTTTTCTGAGGTTTTTGGAGATCCTTTCTTTGACCAAATGCTGTGAATCTCTCACCTGTAGTCCTCTTATGTCAGGTGATGGACTCTCTCTGGTCTCATCTCTTCACTGTTTACTTAGTTGCTGGTTGCCCTCTTGGGTTCATCATTAGCTTTATTCTCTGAAGATCCTTTCATTTGTCCAAGAAGGTCCTCCCGAATACTTCCTAAATTGATTCTATGCTGCTTGTTCATTCAGTGTCTGTCTCTGTCTCTGTCTCTCTCTCTCTCTCACACACACACCAATTCAAACACGTTTCACAGCAAACACTTATGCAACCTTTTCTCCAATAAATTCCAGGAGCATTGGTCAATCCCAAAATAACCAATCACCACAACAACCAATCTGTTCATTCCACATATGAGATAAACATTAATCCACTGTGTCTCCCCCTCAAATGTTAGACAACAGATATTACCCCACCAAAGGGTCTCCTATAAGCCCCTCTCTCTTGACTTGAGGTTAAGGCACTTTGTGGCTTTTTCAATAGATCTTTCTTAAATAAAATGTACCTAAGAAAATCTTGCTCTAAACTCTAACCCTCAACCCTTTTTGCCCATAGTGTATGTGAGAGTCACAAAACTCATAAAATTGGTTTGGGGCCATATATTTCAGCAAATCCTATAGAAAAGTCCTATAGTATCTGGTATCTATTAGAGTTTTGGCAGAAATTTCAATTTTAACATCCAGTTACAAAATAAACAGTATGAAGAAGCTATTTTTTCCCTCAACCAACACTTGGAAGAACCCACAGACTCAGCAATAAGGAACCCTTCTCTGGTATTTTTGGATTTGCAGAAAGCTTCAGAGTCACTTTTTACTGAACGCTAGTGTGTCGACAGCATTTATTGGAAAACCACCACGTGCCCTCAAGATAGCTATGCTGTGTAAAATGCCATTTCTATTTTTCCCTAAGGGGAAAAAAAAACAACTAGAGATAGAAAAAGATGAAGTACCTCACTTAGAGACATTAATGAGTTGTTAGAACTTGAGAAAGGAAATTCTTTTTTATCGTGTGATCAGCCAACTGACTACACCTGTTAACAAATGTGTGAATTCAACCTAGTAACTTCTGTCTGTCCCACAGGCTGAGGTTGATCTGAAAGATAGGAC